CGCTGAATAGACCGTGACATAACTATCTATTTGTATAACCATTGTTATGTTTTAAATATTATCTTCTATTTATCTTATAACTTAATACTTATATAATTATTCTTGAGATCTATTTTAGAAAACACTATGAACCTCACTAAGTAATCCAAGATATTATCTAGTCACTGTATTGAATACATGTACTTTCTTGTGATCTAATTAATGGCTTAACTATACATATATGTGTCATAAACTATCTTTCTTTAGGACCACAAAAATAAGAACTACACAAAGGCTTATGCTTCTCAAATACACCCCTTCTCTATTAGCTCCACCGCCAAGCTCTACAACACTTCAACTTTTTTAAGGTTAGGCTTATATGCTGGCTTTTTTGGTAGACTAGAATTCAAAATCAAATCAATTTGGTGTTATATACCTTTTAAGTGGGGTAATCTCTAAGACAACTTTTTCGATATCAAAAGTACAAATTATGTTAACACGCCATACATTTGTTTAGGACTATTATCATCTTTCTCTTTTCTAAGTTTGCTATTATTGGGTATTAAGGCATATACCACTTGTTCATTCCTTATTTATTTTATAAATTGAATCAATGATAATATATTTTTTATTTTATCTCTATCATCTATTTTATGGGTGCTAATACTATACATTTCCATTAATATTAAGAACTTCTATCAAATTATTATGGTCTCTCTAGCAAAACATTACATGCATCCATTAACTTACATTATACCAAACACTATTAAACTATTTTTGTCCTATAAAAAAGGAAAAAAGTTAACGTTTAATTATAAATACCTTAGTGTCTTTACTCATCCACATCACCTTGTGGGGTTTTGGATGACTTTTAGCCTTAAGCTGAAGTTTTTTCACCACTTTATGGGCACTACATTCTTGCAGTTATCATTATTTATAATTAAATTACAAACCTTGTCTTTTATAATGCATGTAGAGTATAAAGTACTAGTGAGTTGTTAATTCTCTTTTGAATTACACTTAGACATCAATAAACTCTATATGATAACAAGAATAATATCATTATCTCCTAGAGAAATCTCTCTTTCATCATCAAAGTCATCATCATTGATAGGATTAATTATATTTATAGGTTATTTTATCAATAGATTCTTTTCTAAACAACTTTTTAGTTAACTACACTTGCTAGCCTAGTGACCTGATCCACCATATCTAAAATAATAAATCGTGAAAGTAAATCCAAAATCATGACCTATCATCTGTTGAGTTTATTAAGTTTGTTTAAGTTATATGGTGGTCATCTTTTAATTATTATTTCATTTTTCTTGATTATTTTGATATGCTCGAAAACTTTTACTACCAACTATATCATCTTGCTACTTCTTCAAAGTTAGCATCCTCAAATATGCCTTTAAAATTGTCTATAAAGAATAAAGACACGACATGTCTTGAATAGGCTATCGTAACCCACTTAAATACCTCGCCACCAACCACTTTTCTATCAAGTAATCTTTGATAGATTTTCCTTTCTGTTTCAGCATGTGGAGCCTTTAATACATGCTTAGGCATAATTGAAAGGAAATATATGTTCCTTTATCTTTTTCTTCATCTTGTTCTAATAATTGATTTTTTTACTATGTCATCTTTAGTTGTTCCCACCAAATAGATGTTTGGACCTTTAATTTGATTATGATCATTTTCACTCACATCTGTCAAGGAACCTCGTTCTAAAAAAAAAAACCTTTTTAACTTCATTTAGCTAATTTATGAATTCCTTTATTTGTAAGGTTTTAATAAATTTAGGGATCTTGATATGAAACCTATAATCTCTAGTTCTATTTTCATCCTGGTCAAGAGATTGTCTCCTTTACTCTTAACTTTGGTATGAGTTTTTAGTATTGACCAAGAACCTATAATCATTCTCTTCTTAGCCATAGTCTTTTAAATCCCTCTATTCCAACTAATAAGTCAACTTTTTAACCTATCTCTGTATGTCCTCTATAATGAGCTCCCAAACATTTCTCTCATTAGGGGGAGCCTTGATAAGATCAAAAGATTAATGTCTTCTTCTAAGTGTAGGAATATCAAAGTAATAAATAACTTAGCAAGACCAGGATCGAACTATATGGAAGTTAACTATATAAATTATAAACAACAACAATAGCAACAACAAGAACAATAGCAACAGCAGCAACAACAACAACGATAACAATAATAAGTTAAAAGAGCATTTTGAAATATAAGATTAATGTGAGGATTAAACAATAATAAAAATAAATGTCAAGGTTAGAGGATTCACTAATGATATTTTAAACAAGTATAGTATAAACTCTTTTTATTACTCAATTAGAAACCACACACAAAGAAGGTTCCAATCGAATTATACATTGTTAACAAGATTACATTGGTTATCTTATTCGAATAATGCTAATACTTGTAAATATTCTCAGGTATTCATGATTATAATTTATGCTAACAACAAATCAAAATTTCTTTCATAATACAAATGTAGGATATACTATACAGTTGAGCTATGAAAGTGCCAAGTATTTGTTGTACCAGGTGTTATACAACACAAATCTAGATTAACCATTTAACAAGCAAAGTACTAAAAGTGAACAAAATAACAAATACAAACATGTTAGTATCAAATATTAAAGTCCATATTGAGTTTACACTATACTTATTCTTACACCATTAATGTAGCCTTTTCAACTTGACATAATAAACTTAGTTAAACATAATAAAGAAGAAAAACATACATAAACAAGATAAGAACATAAATAAGATATAAGTTAACTAAGTAAAGAAAAGGAAATGAAAAACATAAACAAGAGATTAACAAAAGCAAAACTTAAGCATTACAAAAATATAAAGAAAAAGAGCAAGAAGATGATCTTGATCTGAAAACCAAGATGTCTAAATGCATGGCAAATGCCTCCTTTTATAGGCTAAAATTGAAATTATTAATTTGTTCACTAATTGTTGAGTGGGTGGCCAAATCTTGATTTAATGACAATCCTTATCTTCTTATTTAAACAAAACGTTATTGCTAACATCAGAATTTGAACAGACTTAATTCATAAAATTTATAGAAAATTATCTCAGCTTTCCAACCAAAAAAAGGAATTGAGGTCATTTGGACTTCTAGAACTTAAGATATGAGCTAAACACTTAACAGTGTCTAGGTGTATAACAGATTCAGACTTCTTTTTTGTTGTTAAGATTTGGACTTTCAAATAGCAGAATTGAGTCTTGCATTCCCATAAATGTTTTATACCTATGTTTTAGCTTTTCATCCATATAGAGTAGACCCAAATCCAAGTTTTACAGCTCTAGATATAACCTAATGATTGAACATTGTTCCAGTTTAGACTGAACCGGTGACACGACCACAAGATTAATGTTTTCTCCCAAGTGCATGAGTGTCGAAGTAATAAATAACCCGGCAAGACCGGGGTCGAACCAAAAGCTTTAAAAAAGGAAAGGCCCTAGGCTTATTGGATTTTTTTAGGCTTAAGCCACATATACATGCCAACTCAACTTAGGCCATTACAATTCTTCACCTCAACTTTTCAATGTACTTTCCTGTAGTTTATGCTTTGGTTTTTTTCTTTACCTTTTTTTCTTCTCCACAGCTTAGATTCTATTATATTATATAAAGATTTTGAGTCATATTCTTTCAAGATTGTAAACTTTGTTTAGTAGTGCAACTAAATAAGGTAGTGTTATTTGAATCTTAAAGGGTTGATTGTAATCATTTTGCTTACACCAAGAAACAAGCAATAAAGCTTTTATCAAACTTTCTTGCTCGACGTATCTCCTACAATAAGGGATAATCAAGATAAAAATGCATAAAAAATAGTGTAATGGCACACAACTAAACAATTTATTACAGCGTTACACATACTAAAAAAAACCAGAAGATAAAAATGCATAAAAAATAGTGTAACGGCACACAACTAAACAGTTTATTACAGCGTTACACATAATGAAAAAAACCAGACCTTGATTTTAGCTGTCCACCACTCATCAGGTGTCGAAATTGTTCCAAGTTCAGCACTCCAGCCTTGTCCCATTTCAAAAATCAACCTTTTCTATATTCTCCAATCTTTTTTAATTCTGTCCCACTTATTCTTTAATTATGCTTTCATTAATGCATGGCCAGTTTGATCCTTAAAGTAATTCATAACATATTTTTGACCAGCTTTGTTGGAATGTGTGTTCGGTCACATACCTTACTCAATTGCTTTAATAAATATGTTATAAAAAGCGTGCAACATCTCTCTAGTCTAATAAGCCTTATCTTGTTATTGAGATTCGCCCATATTCTCAGTTAAAATGTTTTATCTAATATACAATTAACAAGTTAATTTCCTAAAGGTTATATCTTAATACATGGGATGAACAATCTATCTTAATAAATCACCAACATAAATAAAGCATGCAATTTAAGAACATAGACTTAACATAATCAACTAACCACTTTAATTGCTAGGTATATTTACATTTATATTCCTAGAAGCCAATGTTTTCATTTCCTAAGCAGAATTTGTCAATTATTTCAAATAACATTAGCAGCTGAGATTTATTAGATATCATTTTCTCATGTGTTTAATTACATAAACAGAAGTGATATAGAGCAGATAAATGTCTTTAGGGCCATGTTCAGCAGCTGGATATTCACACAAGTTTTATGTTTATACCCATTAAACAGAGATAATTCATCTAAAATTACACACATGTAAATTCTAAAAACACACAGCAACTGAAATTAACGCTAATTGTTCAACCAAAACAGAGACAATAAAACATAACAATTACACATAGGATTGTTCAACCAAAACAGAGACAATAAAATGTAACAATTACATATAGGTAAATTCAGAAAATACACAGCAACTGACATTAATGTTACAGAAAACACACAGCAACTGACATTGATGTGAATTGTTCAACTGAAACAGAGATAATAAAATCTAACAATTACACACATGTAAGGTCTAAAAACACACAGCAACTGAAATTAACGCTAATTGTTCAACTAAAACAGAGATAATAAATCAACGGTTAAAATTAAAAACATGCACTTCAAAAAACATACAGCAACTAAACTTGATGTTACTTGTGCAACCGAAATAGAGATTGGTAAGTGTTGTGCTTGAGCATTCCAGAAGACTGATTTCGATGCACTTTTTGGTTCTGGCAAACAAAACAGAAATAGCAACATTATATTTAGAGAAAGATGTTTGGTATGTTTGTGGCAGCAGATCAAGCATGATATATGCAGTTTTTTAAAGTACAATGACAAGATAATTACCATGATGAGTGCTTGTCTTCTTCAACTGTGAAAGAAGTTCATAAAAGCAGTAGATCGGTGGTAGATGGGCTTGATCTACACTCTGCTACAAACACTGGTGATTGGATGCGGTCTATACGGGAGCATGAAGAATAAAGGTGCAAGCAGGGAATCGGCCAGTCAAGGTGAGTGCATGAGGTTAGTGTGAGCTTGGCATGATAAAGGGAAGCATAGTAAAGAGAGCACGGGAAGATCGTTGAGAGGAAAAGCAACAAGTAGGAAACCGTTTGAGGTCTATTTAAGGTTGAGACAGGGAAGCTGTGGAGGAGGAGAGATAATGGCAGCTTTGTTTGGGAGGTGAATCAGTGAAGGAGGAGAGATGATTGAAGCCACAATGAAGGAGAAGATACTAGTAGAGGAAGACAGATAGGGCTAATCAATTTTTTGGGTAATGAAGTTATTATTTGCAGCGTTTTCTACACAGCAACCCCAAAAGCAAGGCAAAATTGCTTTTGCTACTCCTGTGTTTGAAATGCAAATTTGTATAGGACCCAAGCAGTTAAAACTGTGATTAGCTGTTAACTAAACAACTTGCAAATTAAAAACACATAAAATATAAACGCTACCGCATAACCGAACAGGGTTTTAATTTGATCTAGAATCCTGTGGTTCAAATTTGACCTAAAACCCCTCGATTGTTATTACAGAAAATAGGTCTAATGTGATTCTTCCTTTGGTTAGACACTTCTGGACATTGTGATCAAATAACTAGGACTCGATCAGTTAAAACACTTGTTTTTCTGACAAGTAATTAGTAATTTCTCCTAAGCTGACGACCAATATATAACACTGTTTTTCTTCTTATTAATCTTCTATTAAACCAGCTGAAGTAAAAGGCATTGTTCATTGTATTATAATAATACCATAAGTCTAAGATAAGCATGGCGATGAAAGCCCTTGTAGCCAATGAAGTGGAGAAGATGATGAGAAAGACAGGCAATGACACTGGCAGCGTGGCAACACCCTGGTCGAGGCATCAAAAAACGCGGCAGGCTATGGATTAAGGACTGGTACAATGCTGCAGCTCACTAATGCAGTGATTCCGGTATAGCCTTCGGAAACCATTTTGCTTCCTTCCTCTTATTTCTGCTCGGCAGATCACTGACATGCATGTTTCGAGGACGCCCTCAAATCTTAGCAAGGATTGTCAAACACCATGAAGTAATTTTAGTCTACTTTTAATGACGACGCAGGAGGAAATCCTGTCTTGGATTGTTGCCATTATGAATAACCTGCAAATCGGACAGTTCTTTCGGCAGTCCTATTTTATTTCGAGCTGCAGGCACTGTTCAACTTCAATTAACACCAGTGCATGTACAACTTCTGCTTCCATCACATTCTACAGATTTCAATTGCCACTTCTTTTCAACATATACATATAAGAGGAATAAGGCCTTACCGCGCAATGCTAGTTGATGTTTTCATGCATATGAAGCTAGCAAGGGCTCTCTTGAACCTTCACCATATTTGCTGCTATAACAGTCGTAGAGTGCTAATTGAAGTATCCCCAAAATTGTTCCAATTCCATTTGGCACCTGCATTATCCCAACAGAAACGTATGGATGAATAAATAAAGTGAACAGCATCTCCCTTTTCTATCTGACCTTCATGTTAAGTTTACATTGATTTCTTAAGTGCTCTACCTGGAGAAACAGGCTTCCATAAAAGAAAGGATCAAACTTGAGCACTCCGTAAGTAGAGATAGAGAGACTCATCAAGAACGTTGAAAGGGAAAGATAGAATGGCATGTATTCAACACTCTGGGTTTTGATCACCAAACTCTGGCACCACAAACATGTACAAAAACCATGAGACAGAGTGCCGGGATTGAATCTGAATTGAGATTTACATGAGGGCTTCCTTTGGACTTACAATTATAAAAGTGGTGAAGCAAACATTGAAATGAGGGAAAAGACACTTAAATATCCAACAACCATCTGACACAAATGAGTTTCCAAGAATCTCAGGCTCACAAATACTACCATACCAAAGAACGCAAATACTGCAATGAGTAATGCTGACATCCTCAGCTGCAAGAATATTAGAAGAACACGAAGATGATCAAGCTCAAATAAACAAAACAAAAAAAAAAGAGCAATAACTTTTGCGGAAATGCCGAATTCAAGAAAATTTGGGAACAACTGTTACCTTCTTGGATTTATCAGCATAAATGATGAAGATGATTGCGTAGATTAACTGGAAAGCAGCCCCGATTGAATTTACAGTTGCAACCAATATAACTCCAGGCGTTACAAAAGGCATGCCATACCAGAGGCAGATCAAGCAATTCAATAGAGCGTATATGCAAGGCAATTCTGAGAACTGTTCAGTTGATTGGTTTCTGATAATTTTCCTAAATGTTGGTCTGAAAGAGACAGGGTTTTTGCAAGTAAAAACTCTCCATTCCAATTCTTAACTCAGAGACGAGGGATTATAACTAGCTAGCTAGCTTCTTACATTGGCGACACACATAACACAAGCAAAGAGGTTCCCTGAAATTAAGAAGCAGCTATTAGAATACTTGTAAATATCCTATGATGAGTAAATGAGGCAACAGACAATTGATCATACAGTGAATTCAGAAATATTTCAGTGCATATTCAGAGGCCAAACAATTTAAGAGATCCACCACATGAGGTAGTTATTGTTCAAGACAATATTATATGTTTCCATCACCATTCTTGTATTTTCAGAGTTCATCATGGCAATAAAGAAAATATTCAAGGCCATCCCTCCGCTATCTGGAACCACCATAGAGCAAAAGGCCTCAACAGATAGTATCTCACGTTCTCCTACAAAGAAAAGTTTATTCTCTAATTGTAATTATATGATTCTGCACCATCTTTGAGCAACATCTCAAAGACCATAAATGGCCACCAAGGGGAAGGAAATCACAAAAGGTTTTGGAAAGTTGACGAATCCATGTGCTTGACAAAGAACACATGAAAAGAATCATTCCGTTGGTTAATTTCTATTTAAGACAGAAAAAAGCTACAACTTGAACCACTTATCATTAAAGTAGCACCATTATGTAACAACAGAAAAGGAAATAGACACGTTACCAGCAAGTCCAGCTGCATCACTGCAACCTGAAGACAACTCAGTTGAGAGCATCTGTCAATCTCTTCAAACTTCAAACTGATATAAAACTCTCTACCTCTAACCCCCTCTCCCTCTCTCCCTCTCTCCCTCTCCGCACCTTTGTAGCACAAGGAGACTTGTATTTATGTTAACTTAATCCACCGTGTTGGAATATTCTAAATCGCTCAGGAGCAGATTCATATCAAACTGCTGATGCTTTTGTTCAAATACAAGACAAACAATTGTAGAAGCTTCCCTGCTAGACATGGACTTTTATTGTTCTTAGAAAGAGAACCTCATGTACATGAAGTAGAAAAATATCATCTGTTGATCCTTGTAAACTCTGCAAGTGGGACTTATCACCTGTAAAAGATAATAAAATGAATGCTTCCTTAGATGAAAAGTAATTTTTAAATTTATTTAAATTATTTTTATGATTGATATTTATTATTTTTATTATTTTTTAATTAAAATTTTTTATTTATCAAATTTAATCTTAATTATTTTTATTATTAATAATTTATAAAATTATAATTATAATTATAATTATTTTAATTTTATTATCTTTTAATTTTTTTATCTGTTAAATTTGATCTTTATTATTTTGATTGTTATTTATTTCATTTGAGATAATTTATAAAATTAAATTTTATATGAGATAATTTATGAAAATATATATTGTTTAATTTCATTATCATTCAATTTTTTAATTTGTAAAATTTATTTTTTATTATTTTAATAAACTTGAAAAAATAAAATATTATAAGTTATCTTTTAATTTATTTTTCATGACATAATTAAATACTAAAAAATATATTTTCAGACATAACCAAATATTAAAAAATATTTTTCCAATTATTTTTTAACCAAATATCAAAAAATTATTTATTTTTTCAGAATTTACTTTTCAAGAAAATTATTTTAAAAAAACTATACGATATTATATACATATTTTGCATATATTTTTTATATATATATATATTTGCATCACGGTAACAATAAAAATAGAATAGCATTTCACCATTGTGTATAATATTCACACTCTCGCAACATATTATGGATGTCACTGTTAATCCTACAGTTTTTTTTTTTTACTTTTTAAATTTTGGTCATTTATTTATTTTTTTTCAATCAAATTCTTTCAAGTTATATTATCATTTTATGCGTCAAAGTTTTTTCTTACTTTATATGCTTTAACATACGCAAAGGATCCAGAAATGTTTTTGGGGATTTTGAAAAATATAATTTTTTATTGTCATTAAAAATCAAATTAAAGTTATAAAAAAACAAATTAAATATATATAAAAAAAATAAAACAACCCAATGTTTAAAAGGCATGCAAAATTACTCTTTGGTCATTGAATTCTTAGTTCACGCAATATTTGATCCTTGAAATTTACGGACTTAAATTTCTGTCATATTCTTTAATTTCTTTTCTTTTTGATCCTCAAATATTAAGAAAGAGAAAATAAAGTTGTCAAGAAAAGTTATAAGTGAGAAAGAGGTTGGGTATAATTTCCATCATTAAAAAAACTAATATTAGTTTTAATAGGTTTGTTTTGGAGAGAATGGTTTCATGAAGGTCGCTTAGATTTTTTATCTTGCCAAAAAAAATAGATTAAAGTTCAAGAAGATTTCTTTATTTAGTTTAATTTCGGCATTTTTAACTGATTGGAGGGAGTTTTGGGTTAAAATGTGTTTGATGGGTCCCTAACATTTTTTTAGATTTTTCAAGTCAAAATAAATTTAAATTTTAGCCACCAAAGGTAATTAAAATTGTCATCTATCTTTTTTATATAAAAAAACAACTAGGTACACATTGGCTTGAAAGGTCATCTGTTTATTTAAAAAAAAAATGTTGAGACATATATCATCCTAGCCTCCTAAGTCCATACATGCTTAAGCTTCTTATTTTGGTTTAGGTATAACTTGTTGATGTGGGACAACAAAAGCAAAGAAAGAAAGATAAAATGGAAAAAGGAAGAAGACAAGAATTAAAAGCATGGAAAGAAAAATTTAGAAAGAAAAAAGAGCTTAAAAAAGGAAAAGTCTTTATTTTATCAAATCATTAAAATTATATCACAAAATGAAAAGAAACATATAAGTAGTATACCCTTAACATATCTAATTATTGCGCTAAGCTCATAAATTAAAATTTTCTAAAATAAATAACTCAAATATAATGAAATAAACCTAGATGAGCCCAATCTTTCAACCAAAGAATGATAGGTTGGGTTATACTTCATCATTTTTACCCATATATTTGTGTAATTTAGGATGTGGGTCTAGTGTTCTAACTAACTCTCCCAGGGTTGGAGAAACTTAGCCTTAACGAGTATAGCTCTAAACAGCGCTAATAGTACTCCTAAAGATCTAAATAAATCTTTTACAATGTATCTCTAGCGATTCAAGTGTAATCTAAATTAGGTCAGCCCAACCAATAAACTTAAAACCATTGAAATTTATCTTTTTTAATTAAAATAATTTGTTCATCCAAGATAGCATTAATATTATCCTTTCGTGCTAATATCATAGTGAAAGAGGTAAAGGTTTTAATATCATCATTAAAAGTGGGATTAAGTGGCATCTTAAATAGATCATTTGGAATAGGATGTGATTTTTTATATGCAATTAGACCCTTAATATTAAATATAGAACTAATTTCAAAATCAAGTGGTAAATCAAGAATACAAGCATTTGAAACAACCCGTTGTCGCACTTTGAATGACCCAACACTATATGCCTGTAATTTTTTATTAGTTCCTAAAGGATATCATTCAGGTCTAATACGTAGCATACTATAGTCTTTAACATTAAGTTCATTATGTCATTTATATAAATCAGCTTGAAGTTTATATTGCATATTACTTACATAAATCTGCTTAGTGATCTCAACATGCAAATGACTCAGTTGACTTAGGCACCTTAAGATAAGAAGACATAGGAAGAAGGTCAAAAGCTTTCTAGGCTAGAAACCATGTACAACTTCAAAGGAACTCATGCGTATCGACCTATTGATATAGCTATTATAGGCAAGCTGGGCTATAGGAAGAATTAAATCTCAATTCTTATTATGATTATGCACTAAACATTTTAAAAGGTTTCTAAAACTCCTATTGACCACTTCAATTTGCTCGTAAGTTTGGAGGTGGTATACAATAAAAAAATTCTACTTAATCCCCACCATATGGCAAAGGGTTTTCCATGGATAACTCATAAATCTAACATCCATATTTGATATTATGGTTTAGGGAAGACCATAAAACTTGACAATCTCATCAAAATATAGTTTCACGACTTTAAAAGCATCTATGGTCTTAGTCTATTGGATAAGATGAGTCATATTAAAGAAATAATTAACAACTATAAAGATAAAATCATGCTTATTTGTAGTATGTTGAAGCTCAAGCATAAAATTTGTACTTATATCTTGCTAAGGGCAAATGAGAATACATAAAAGTGTGTAAAGGCCAATTTTTTATTTTCTATGCTTAGCTAATTGATATGTTTGGCATTGACCTACCAACTTAGCTATATATATTTTTAAGTTGGATAAAAGAAAATGACATCTCACCTCTTTAATGGTTTTATTTCTCTTTAATGGTTTTATTTCTTCTATAATGTCTTGAAAAACCTCCAACATGAATCCCCCACACCAAAAAAATCAAGTACAAATGTCTTCAGGTTACAAAGTTTATTATTCCGAGAAAAATACTCTTTCTAAATATAATAACCATCTACAACATGATTACTCTCATATCTTGATATCGTGTATATTTCTTCAACTTTTGGCAAGATTCATACTCATCTTTAAGTCTTTCAAATCTAGTAAGTTCAACACTTATTATGAATAACAATGTTACTCGACAACTCAAGGCATTTGCCGCCTTATTTTTCATTTCAGGTTTGTGTTTTAATACAAATGAATAGGCTTGCAAATAATTAACACAATGACCATTCCTATAATTGAGCTTCTTTTGGGAGTTAAGATAATGGATAGCCTCATGATTGGAGTAAAGAACAAGCTCATGTGGTAGCAAATAATGGTATCAATATTGGCCTAAACTACCGTATAAAATTCTTTATCACAAGTTTAGTACTTTTGTTTAGCCTCATTAAATTTCTCACTAAAATAAGCTATAGAGTGATGTTTTTAAGTACTCTATATATGCAAACTCCCAAGGCATCATATTCTATTTCAAAAACCTTAGTAAAGTTGAAAAGCTATATTAATAAAGCCTCCATCATCTTCTTTTTAACCTCCTCAACGCTTTATTAGCTCATTTACTTTATTAAAACTCATTTTGTTTCAAACAATCTATGATAAGAGATATAATGGTGTTAAATCTCTTAATGAAATGTTGATAGAAAGTTGTAAGTCCAAGAAAACTATAAACCTCATGAATTTTTTTAGGCTTAGGCTAATCTACAATAGCTTGGATTTTTTAGGAATCAGTAAAGATTCCCTCACATGACACTCTAAACCCTAAAAAAAACCATTTAATCCGTGAAAAAAGAACACTTTTTAACATTGGAAAACAAACTTTCTTTCCTTAAGGTGGTACAAACCTAAATAAAGTGATCTAAATGTTTTTCTTTGGTTTTGTTATAAATATGGATGTTACTAAAATACACCTAAAGGAATTTTTCCACAAAAGGTTTAAGCACCCATATCATTACCATCATTAAAGTATTTGTGAATTAAAAAGGCCAAAAGGCTAGACTAATCACTTATATAATTCTTTCTTAGTCTTAAATATAGTTTTTCATTCTTCTCACAAACAGATTCTAATAGGAAGATACCCACTCTTCAAATCAATCTTAGAGAAAAAATGTGCTCTTATCATCATATCAAACATATCATCCAATCAAGGAATGAGAAAATAATACTTCATTGTAATCTTGTTGATAAATCAACTTTCCACTTATATTTTTCATGATCCATCCTTCTTAAATGTTGAAAGGGAAAGTACTGCACAAGGGTTGAAACTCTCTCATGTAAATCATTTTTATAGTAATTCGTTTATTTGTTTTTGCAATTCAGCATGTTCATTAATATTCACCCTGTAGTGAGGCAAGTTTGGCAATATGGTATCAAGAATAAAATTTATAGAGTGTTAAATATCATACACAAGGGGTAAAACATCAGTTAGTTTATAAAGAAAGACATTAAGCAATTTTCTTAACATTTACCGTATCTCTTTAGGTGATTCATCTAAACAATTTTCTATAACCTCATTGGTTATTAAGGTAAACACAATAAACTCTTCATGAATCTCTTTTTCAAACTTCTTATGAATTATTATGTTAAGCCCATTTTCTTTAACCTTTTACTTTTTTTTGC